CTCGGTTTCCATCCCTAAGTCTATAGGTGAAGCGTTGTCTCATCCAGGATGGCGACAGGCTATAAGTGACGAGATTTTTGCTTTACATACAAGTGGTACTTGGGAACTTGTTCCTCTTCCTTCAGGTAAATCTACTGTTGGTTGTCATTGGGTTTATGCAGTCAAAGTTGGTCCCGATGGACAGATTGATCGACTTAAGGCCCGTCTTGTTGCTAAAGGATATACTCAGATATTTGGGCTCGATTACAGTGATACCTTCTCTCCCGTGGCTAAAGTGGCTTCAGTCCGCCTTTTTCTATCCATGGCTGCGGTTCGTCATTGGCCCCTCTATCAGCTGGACATTAAAAATGCCTTTCTTCACGGTGATCTTGAGGATGAGGTTTATATGGAGCAACCACCTGGTTTTGTTGCTCAGGGGGAGTCTCGTGGCCTTGTATGTCGCTTGCGTCGGTCACTTTATGGTCTAAAGCAGTCTCCTCGAGCCTGGTTTGGTAAGTTCAGCACGGTTATCCAGGAGTTTGGCATGATTCGTAGTGAAGCTGATCACTCTGTGTTTTATCGGCACTCTGCTTCAAGTCTCTGTATTTATCTGGTAGTCTATGTTGATGATATTGTTATTACTGGCAATGATCAGGATGGTATTACCAATCTGAAGCAGCATCTCTTCCAGCACTTCCAAACTAAGGATCTAGGCAGATTGAAGTACTTTCTAGGTATTGAGGTTGCCCAGTCTAGCTCAGGTATTGTTATTTCTCAAAGAAAATATGCTTTAGACATTCTTGAGGAGACGGGGATGATAGGTTGCAGACCTGTTGACACTCCGATGGATCCGAATTCTAAACTTATGCCAGGACAGGGGGAGCCGCTTAGCGATCCTGCAAGCTATAGGCGGCTGGTTGGAAAATTAAATTATCTCACAGTGACTAGACCCGACATTTCTTATCCTGTAAGTGTTGTAAGTCAGTTTATGAATTTTCCCTGTGATAGTCATTGGGATGCAGTTGTCCACATTATTCGATATATAAAATCGGCTCCAGGCAAGGGTTACTCTTTGAGGATCGAGGTCATGAGCAGATCATTGGATACTCAGATGCTGATTGGGCAGGATCACCTTCTGATAGACGTTCTATGTATGGATATTGTGTTTTAGTAGGAGAAAATTTGGTGTTGTGGAAGAGCAAGAAACAGAATGTAGTTGCTTGGTCTAGTGCAGAAGCAGAATATCGAGCAATGGCTATGGCAACATGTGAGCTAGTCTGGACCAAACAATTGCTCAAGGAGTTGAAATTTGGTGAAATCAGTCGGATGGAACTTGTGTGCGATAATCAAGCTGCCCTTCATATTGCATCAAATCCAGTGTTCCATGAGAGAACTAAACATATTGAGATTGATTGTCATTTCGTCAGAGAAAAGATACTTTCAGGAGAAATTGCTACAAAGTTTGTGAGGTCGAATGATCAACTTGCAGATATTTTCACCAAGTCTCTCACTGGTCCTCGTATTGGTTATATATGTAACAAGCTCGGTACATATGATTTGTATGCACCTGCTTGAGGGGAGTGTTAGTTTACAGCATGTATATAGTGTAGTATTGTCCCACATTGGTAGAAGAGTAGTATGTCCTTGTATAGTATAGCTATAAATAAGGACCTCTTGTATTGTATTGTTCATCTAATATCAATAACATATTTTCTCCCGTGCCTTCTCACACTTGCTAACACAAAAGTGAACTAGGAACAAAGTGTAAGGCAATGTGATTTACTAAAATTGTTATGATTAGTTTGTAGATTTCCATGGTATGTTTTTTCAGGTATCCCTAGGTCTTCTTCTGACAGTGTGCTTCTTCCTTATAGTTTGTGCTTTTCAGATCTATTATTTTGCCATACCTCCATTCATCTCACCACAGTTTTGTGCTTGTATGGGAACAATTTCAAGCATGTAGAGCAGTTCATGAATGAAGTTGTGATTTTAACTAAGCTCCGCCACCAGCACCTCGTGACATTATACGGGTGCACATCAAAACGAAGCCGAGATTTACTGCTTGTTTATGAGTACATATCAAACGTGACAGTGGCAGATCATCTGCATGGAAATCGGGCCAAATCTGGTTTACTCTCTTGGCCTGTCCGAATGAACATAGCCATTGAGACTGCTGATGCTCAGGCTTATCTCCACTCCTCAATTATAATACACCGTGATGTCAAAACCAACAACATTCTATTAGACAATGATTTCCATGTGAAAGTTTTTGATTTTGGGCTATCAAGATTGTTCCCAAATAATGTCACACATGTCTCTACTGCTCCACAGGGTACACCAGGCTACGTTGATTCTGAGTACTACCAATGTTACCAGCTGACCAAAAAGAGTGATGTCTATAGTTTTGGGGTGGTCTTGATAGAGCTGATCTCATCATTACAAGCTGTGGATACCAACAGGCACCACCATGATATTAATTTGGCTAATATGGCTGTCAACAAAATCCAAACTCATTCAGTACATGAATTAGTTGATCCAAGTCTTGGATTCATGACAAACAGCTCTGTGAGGAGGATGACTACATTAGTCGCTGAGTCAGCTTTCCGATGTCTGCAACAAGAAAGGGATATGAGACCTTCAATGCAAGAAGTGCTGAAGACTCTGAGAGGCATCCAGAATGGGGAGTCAATGCACACAAGGCTGAGGTCTTGACATTGTGGTAGATGATGTTGGGCTCCTAAAGGGCTCGGGTTCCCCTTCCTCACCATATTCCAGTGGATGAACTATCATTTTCAGGTAGGTCGATTTTATTGCCTAGATGAAGAAGCAATTACTATTTTGACACTAGTGATTAATGTCATGGTTCCGTTAGAATCTCCCGTCTTTGATGGACACTTAATTCCTTATTTTTGCTTTGATGTAGTTATCTTGGTATACTACGATATGGTCTCTGGGAGATTATCTACTGCTGTTCGCATAAGGAATGTAAATATTGAATGGAGCTGCCAACATTCTAGTATATATGCGCTGTAACTTTTATGCTGCCAGGGGGTGAAGTTTATGAAACACGTGGCTGGTAGTCTGGTACATCTATACCTGATTGCTTACCTTGCTATGCATTCCAGTAATTCGCTTTTTTAAGTTATAGCTATTACATTTTACTAATTCAAAGATTATATCTTGAAGGTAATTTTGTCTTTTTTCATGGAAAGTAGTCCGTTCGTTATTGAGCATGAAGTAAACCACTATCTTTAACCGTTGGAGCCCTGAATTCAACTGTTGTTTGTTACTATGAGATATCACATTGCAAGAACAAAATTTGATTTCCTGAGGACATAACCAACCTCATTAAGCTTGCAATGTCTCTTTTTCTCTTCCTTGTTCTCATGAATTCTGACCTACTTAGCTATATGTGGAATTTGAGCACCACCTCACTCCTTGGGGGCGCACTTCAAGAAATTCAGAGCACGTATCTTCTTTTTTTCTTGGCTAAAACGTTATTCCTCTGTAAATTCTACTGGGAGGCCATGTCAATTTCTTTGGTCCTGATTTGTGCAGTCCTGGCGGATGAAAACGAGAAGAGGATTTCCTAAAGTTAAAGTTACTTGTGTAATTTTCTTAGAAATCCTTGGCTTATCTAGGGTTCTTTTGACAAGTATGCAAAAAATTTCTATATGAAAGCTATATTTGAAGAACTCATAATTGCCACATCTTTAATTATATTTGCAGACAACAAGGAAAAATCAATTAGTTGAGGAGCGAAATGGCATCAATGGGGTGTGCACTCTTGAGAAAGGCTTGTCCAATTGAATAAAGATAATGAAAAGAGATACACCTGTGTACTTCACCTGTCTACTCTCTGACTGTGTAGCACATATTCTAGTTTATGTATTAAATGAGCTCTGGTTTTACTTTTCTGACCATTGGACAATATCCTTCAGCCTGCTTGCTGTAGAAGAAATGTTGACAATTCAGGTTTTTCCCAACTGTTAGTTATTGTTTTGAGTCTGCAATGTCTCTTCTCTTATGTAACTATTGTTAATTTACAGCATGTATACAGTGTAGTATTGTCCCACATTGGTAGAGGAGTAGTATGTCCTTGTATAGTATAGCTATAAATAAGGACCTCTTGTGTAGTATTATTCATTCATTCAATATATCAATAACATATTTTCTCCCGTGCCTTCTCACATGGTATCAGAGCAATTGTGAGAGACTTATCGCTGTGCATAAATTCCAGCGATTCCGGGAAAGAGAAATCAGTATTTTTTTAAGGTTGTTTTCTATCTGCTTCATTTCTGTCAGTGTTGTGCAAAATCCAACACTACCACAAGAGTCGTCACTGTCCGGCGACCAAACCCCAGTGAACAACTCCGGCAGAAGCAGCCTCACGCGCCTCCACGCGCCACCAGAAGCTCACGCGCTGGCACGTACGACCACTTCCGGCCATTTTTAGAAAATCTTCCTTCAGAACAGTTGGGTCGCCTGGTAATTCCGATCCTACCCCTACTGTTTTCA